GAAACTCCACCTCAGAGAACAAAATAAAAAAAGAGCATCAATTGGTTTCTTAAATAAATACACAGGGCTAGGTGTCGTACCTCATGCCTGTAATCTCAGCACTTTGGGAGGCTGAGGCAGGGGGATCACTTGGGCCTAAGAGTCTGATTCTAGCCTGGGGATCATAGTGAGACTCTGTCTCTTAAAAAAAAAACACATTGAACATTAATCAAAATACAAATTCTAATGAGTATTTGTATTAGTCTCCGTTCACACTGCTATATAGAAATACTCAAGATTGGGTAATTTATAAAGGAAAGAGGTTTAACTGACTCACAATTTCACATGGCTGGGGAGGCCTTAGGAAACTTACAATCATAGCAAAAGAGGAAACAGGCATGTCTTACATGGTGGCAGGCAAGAGAGAGTGTGAGTGAGTGAAGGGGGAGGAGTCCATTATAAAACCATCAGGTCTCATGAGAACTCACTCATTATCACAAGAACAGCACTGGGGAAAATGCTCCCATGACTGAATCACCTCCCACTGGATTTCTCTCTTGACACATGGGAATTACAATTTGAGAGGAGATTTGGGTGGGGATACAAAGCCAAATCCTATCAGTATTTTCCTCCATGCTACCAAGTTCTTTGGACATAAGGAATCAATCAACAGGATAATCCTTTACTAACACTCTGAGCCTATGAGAAATCGTCACACAGATCTTGGTGTTAAGCAGCAATCTCTCCTTTTATTAAAGTTCATATATTGACCAAATATTTTCAGAGTGTTATAAAAGACTGTTCCAGGCACTGTTTGTATCTACTGGATTAGGAGTAAAATGACTGATGTTATAGTGACATTTCAGTCAGAGAAACCCTAAATAGTAAGCCACCTACCACTATGTGTAGCTTAAGTATCTCTTCTCATAGAAGAAGGACAATAACACCTGGTTGGATGGACTGAGGAAACTACTACTGTATATGTGAAAGGGTAATGTATTACTCTCCTAGATAGATAGAAACAAGTCACAACAAACAAGTATTGCCCTGTGTATGCCTCTGGCTCCCATACTCTGGGAATACCAGTATTTTGATTTAATGAACATATTTAGGCTTCACTCCTTAACTCGGAACATTTTGAACAGAACGAAGGACAACATGAGAATGAATGTGCACCAAGTTTAGTGTACAATTAATATAAACAGAATAATTTATGACCCTAAGGAACATATAATAAGATTCTAATGTACAATTCCTATGTATGAAGAATGGGTAAAAGTTCTTGGCCAACTGTGGTCAGGTTCAGTCCAGACACCTTTTTTTCTGGGATGTCCAAGTTCTGCTGATCATCTTCTGAGAATTCTATCTTGCTCTTGTTTTTCACCTGTGCTGTGATACAGATACACTGCCTTGTACTAGAGGCTTTAGAACTCTTTGCAAAAATTTTTTTCCTGGTTGCAAAATTAAGCTTTGATCAAAGATTTTACTGAGTGTGATTAACTGTTACTTTTAAAAAGTACATACCTCTGTTCTCTGAGACCTCACCTTTGCTCACTCTCTCCCTTCCTGAAATCTGAGTGCCTGACACCCTGTCTCATTATGGCAAGCGAATGTTAAATGTGGCTTTTTTGGGCAAGGATGCTTCCAGAATTAATTTGCCCTGAAAATCCATCTCTACTGCACCGAAGTTTGAACAACTTACTATAACCAATCCTCCCTGACTACAGTAACTCAAGGTTTTATTAACTATTTCATATCTACTATTACATGGGATGAAAATGCTCTTTGAAAG